TAGTAGAGAAGACGGGGTTTCACCATGTTGGTCAGGCTGGTCTCAAACTCCTGACCTCAAGTGATCCACCTGCCTCAGCCTCCCAAAGTGCTGGGATTACAGGCCCCTGGCTGTCTTTCAAGGGATTGGTCCATTTCGTCTAGTTTATCACTTTTGTGGGCATAGAGTTGTTGTTGTTTTTAAGAGTTGTTTATATTATTCCTTTAAAGTGCATGGATCCGTAATGATGTCCTGTTTTTCATTTCTGATATTGGTACAGTCATGTCTTTCTTAATGACAAGGATTAAATATTCTGAGAAGTGTGTTCCATGGTTTCATCATTGTGAGCACATTATAGAGGTGTGGTTACACAAACCTAGATGGTGTAGCCGTGTGGGCTGTACGGTAGAGCCTGTTGCTCCTGGACTACACACCTGTACAGCTTGTTAGTGTACTGAATACTATAGGCAGTTGCAACACAATGGTAAATATTTGCATATGTAAACATAGAAAAGGTACAGTAAAAATACAGTATAAAAGATGAAAAATAACACTTGATATAGTTTGGACGTGTGGCACGTCCAAATCTCATGTTGAAATGTGACCTCCAGTGTTGAAGGTGGGGTCTAGTGGGAGGTGTTTGGGTCATGGGGGTGGTTCCCTCATCAATGGCCTGGTGCCCTCCATGGGATAATGAGTTCACCTGAGAGCTGATTGTTTAAAGAAGCCTAGTCCTCCTCTCTCTCTATCTCCTTCTTTTGCCATGTGATACGCTGACTCCCCTTTTGCCGCCTTCTGCCCAGAGTAAAAGCTTACAGAGGGTGGCTGCGGTGGCTCATGCCTGTAATCTCAACACTTTGGAAGGTTGAGGCAGGAGGATTGCTTGAGTCCAGGAGTTTGAGACCAGCCTAGGCAACATAGGGTTACCCCATCTTTACAAAGAAGTTAAAAATTCAGCCGTGCCTGTAATCTCAGCACCTTGGGAGGCCAAGGTAGGTGCATCACCTGAGGTCTGGAGTTCGATATGCCATTTAGTGAAACTGTGTTTCTACTAAAAATACAAAAATTAGCTAGGTGTGGTGGCGGGCACCTATAATCCCAGCTACTTGGGAGACTGAAGTAGGAGAATCGCTTGAACTGGGAGGCGAATGGAGATCACACCATTGCACTCCAACCTGGGTGACAGAGCAAGACTCTGTCTCAAAAAAGCCAGGCGCGGTGGCTCACGCCTGTATCCCAGCACTTTGGGAGGCCGAGGCAGGTGGATCACAAGGTCAGGAGATTCAGACCATCCTGGCTAACACGGTGAAACCCTGTCTCTACTAAA